TAACTACGACTGAGTGTGTAACAAGTGTGAACGAATAGTGTGGAACAATTGAATCATAAAGTGTGAACAAATAGTGTGGAATAACTGCATCATAAAGTGTGAATGAATAGTGTGGAACAATTGAATCATCAAGTGTGAACGAATAGTGTAGAACAACGAATCATAAAGTGTGAACGAATAGTGTGGAATAATCGAATCGTAAAGTGTAAGCGTTACCAAATATAAGTGTATCACAAGCGGAAACGTTATCAAGTAGGAGTTTAAACTAAGTAAAAGCGAAGAAGCGGCATCTAACAAGCAAAAGTATACAACATGAAAGAGAACTTTGATGAAAACCTTGGAAAAACCTTTATACTTAAGAAAGTCACAACTTGGTATTATTTGGTAAAATAAGTTTGAAAACCTTTAGAAATTCTTTGGAAACCTTTCATAAACCAGTTTAAAATGAACTTTGATAAAACAGTATAAGTAAGAGTTATGAAGAAGTAAAAACATTTTAGAGAACCGTTTATAGTATCCAACTCGGTAAAACAGTTTATAGTGTGGTAAATTTTTGAGCATGTGGGTTATCAATCACATATGATTGATATGATAACTGGCATGTTTAACTTGTATTTCCCCCCCCCCCCTATAAAACATGAAAAAACATATAAAAGGTTCATTCAAGGGTATGAACTCACCTGGTGTAAGTAGGTCCGACGGAGGTGCGTTGGGTGTTCGGTGTCACGTAAAGACTCGAACACACTCAATGACCTATTTAACATATGATAACATATGTTCACATACAATTAGTATATTTAATACTAATTAAACATGTGTACGTACTCAAAGGAGCGGAAAACACTTTGGTTAAGTGTTTGGGGTGTCCTGGGTAGAGTCTAAAGGTGGTATGGCTTAGGAATGGAGTTTACTCTCCGAGAGTAAACTCTTTACACTTAGTTTACGGCCCATGGACAACTCCCCATGAGTTTACGGCCGTAAACTCATGGTGAGGGTTCTAGGGTGTTTTAAGGCTCAATCTTGTTCGTAGAATTTTTCTAGGTCCAAATCCAAAAGGCATGAATGAGTTTAGGGTCTTTAAAGGCACCATTATGGAGTTTACGGCCCATGAACCACCCATAAGGGAGTTCACGGCCGTGAACTCCTAGATCATGGGTTTATTGAAGATTCAAGCCCTTAATACCCTCCTAGTAATTTATAATGAAGTGTGAGGCCATTTGGGGGATTTAAAACTATTATTTTAGCATGTTGAGGGTTTTTACGGCCTTGACACATGTCTGGGCCGTAAACTCCTTTTATCCCCTTAAATCCTTGTGTTTAAATGATCTAAACCCAAAATAGCAAGTCCCTAATTCATGTATTAAGCCTAAGGGTGGTTTGGGAGTGTGTTTGGGGTATTTTGACAAGGTTTAGAGGTGTTTACGGCCTAAGCATGTGCTTGGGCCGTAAACTCTCTTTTATGCCCTAAATTGATTGTTTTAAATGAGCAAACACTCCTAGGCTAATCCTCAATTTATTTCCAAGCTTTTAGGGACAAGTTTGGGTCTTTTGGCCTCAATTAAGGTGTTTACGGCCTAAGGAGGATCTAGGCCGTGAACTCCTTTTCAACAGCTTAAATGGTCGAATTTTAAGCTATAATCACGATTCATAATGTTTAGAAACAAGCTAGGGTAAGTGGACTTACGATTTGGAAGCGTTTGGTTGCGGATTCGGGTCAAAAACAAGTCTAGAGAGAGAGAGTATAGAGAGAGAGGGTGGAAAAGGCTCAAATGGAGTTTACTCCCCTTATATATGGGTGGGAGTTGGAGCTCAGTGATATTCTACCTGATACTATCGTTTAACGGGGCTTTTGGTCGCACGCGATTTAGTGGTCGTAATAATAAAAACTAACTTTTCCAACTAAATGGAAATGTGTATTATGAGTTTTTATTTCTTTATCACGACTTAACGGCGTATTAAACATAAACAAATGAAATTTTTATTTAATTGACGACCTCTAATTAACGAAACTTTTATAAACTGGAATAGTCCGTTAACGGTAACGGGGAAATGTAACCGAACAACTTGGGTTATCACAAAGAAAGATGCTAAAAACTTCACAACACTTAGATCTATGCAAAATAAATGGCAAGCAAGAAGCTTTATACCTCAAATAAGCTTCAAAGGATGATATCTCTTCAGATCTACAAGCTCCAATTGTTCCTTCCCTTCTTTGACAACTTCTCCTTTCTTCTTCTAGCTTTTCTTTTGCCAAAATGAGCTTCCAAAGGCCAAACACACCCAACAATGGAGGGAATACGGGTTTCTAGGGTTTATGAGGTTAAGGATGAGCTTAAGGAGGCTACGGTATGAACCAACATGTTCCTTATATAGTGGTGGCTCTTAAATTAGGGTTTGGGGTTTCTGAGAGTACACTGGGCGTACTCACCTGGCCACCCCGCACATTTCCCTTCACTATGTTGGGCGTACCCAGCCAAATTCAAGCATGCATGCCATGCATACATGGGACCTTTTACACTTATTCCACAAAGAGCTATAAACAATATCATTTCCAAGACTCCGCAACTCCTCTAATCTAAACCCGCTCCCAATAGACTTTACATTCACACGAGGGAGACGAGAAACCCTATGCTTCTATCAACATACACCAGTCCGAAACCTTCTCAGATAAAACCCTTTCCTGAAAAAGGACCAAAATTACCCTTCCTCTTAAATCTCAGGGACTCATAATTAAACACTTTCAGAATGGGGTGTTACAATTCTCCCCCACTTAAATTAGGCTTCATCCTCGAAGCCTGCGACAACTCTACTCCAGAACTACCCCCGCAATGCACCGCCTGGCATTCACCAGACCAGGTTCCTCAAGACTCGACCATCGAAATCCGATACCCAACTCTACCTTTCTTGCTGACAGGATGACACATGCTTCAGCCTCAGAGCAACTCCCACGAGTTCTCCACCGCAATCTCATAACCACACTGAACTGGCTCTAGTGTCCTCGGGTTAGGAAAAACCCAATACACTGATGACACTTCCAAACATCCTTCCGGATGAATTTTCACCACATAAAACAAAATATATCTGGAAATCCGAGATTCCATCCATGCATTCCTGCCGAGCCCCAGCAACCATCCAACCCGAATGTGATCCCATAACACTCCCGCAATCACGTTTCTCAATAACCATAATTGGACCACTTCAATCATAACTCTGCACTGCTGCTTTTACTTCCGCAAATTCACAATCCCTTATAGTATAACCGCTATCCATGCAACACACATGTCCTGAATCTGCTCGCAAGGACTCTTGAGTCCATGCACTACCTCCACCAATCAAGATCAATACCCGGGGCCAGACCTTCTAATGCTAACACATCACAACATACTCAACCCATTTCCTCGAACCAATCCAATAATACTTGCAGAGTCTTCAGCATGACTGGACCACCTTACCAGGCCTTCACCCAATCTGGACCACTCTCAAAACCTTCAGCCAATCTGGACCGCCCTCCAGGGCCTTCAGTCTGGCTGGACCATCCCCGAGCCTTCGGCCTGACTGGTATGCCTACCGGCCTTCAGTCTATCTGGACCGCTCGACTAGCATTCATCACTCCGAGTTATCTCTCCGAGGAATCCTCCCATGCATACTGTTCTAGCCCTATAGGGGTTCCGAACTCTATCTCCATCATACATACTCGATCCCAGCCTGATCCCAGGCCCTCCACAATCACTGCCATAGGTATGTATCCCGCCCCGCATGCCTACCACTCACTCATACTAGCCTGCTCTCGGCTGACAGAAACACTGTTGAATCCCAAGCAGCTAAACAATCTCTCATGCCTATCGACCATCCGGAGAATTTCCCATTCTCCCCCACTTAGGGAACTGACTATCAACCACCGGTCACTATCACCGACCTCCCAAAATAACCTTGTACAAAACCCAACCCTTACACGCGGACTGATTCCCACTAGCACTAGCAACCTTCACAAAATCACATTTCCACACTGATCATCCCGCTCGAAAGAAACTAAATCTTCAGCTAACCACTCCTTAGACTGCAAATGCTACCCGACCTTCAGACCAACGCCATATTTCCACTAATAACCCTCACGAATGATAACCAACGAAAACCCGAAACACTAACCCATAACCATACCAAACCCTCAAGGAACAACGGATACTAAAACGAAAAACCACGCAATGAGACTAGCAGATAATAATACTCCACAATAATCACAAGATAACAAGATATTAAGAAAGGAACATACCCGCAGCTGCATCCGGCACTGCTCTGACCTCCTCTGCTGAAAGCTGAAAAGCACGACCCTGAGCCCTTGGGGCTCCGCTCCACCCTGACCTCCGCTCGTGATCCTCAAAGTGGCTGGTACTGGAGCATGCACCGGTCCCGCAACAAGTTGTGTA